TATATATATATATATATATATATATATATATATCACAGAAGAACTAAATATTGCAATGTCAGTTTTTTCGAATATCGTGCAGCCCTAATTGGGAACATGTATAGCATTTTCCATGACACGAGTCACAGAAGTGAGGCATAAGAGCACCTGCATGCTAGAGTTTACATAGCGCAATGTGACCAAAAGTTCAGAAAAGTTTTCACAACCTTAAATCAAATCTTATGTTCTAAATCTTAATCTAATGTTCCAACCCGTTCCATCAGAGATTTCTGTAGTGTGCAGGAGCCATAAGATATGAAATTCATTAAATAGCTCTGTTCCAAAACCAAGATAGCTGTCATTTTTAGGTTTCATAGATGCACTAAAAAGTTTTCTTGAATTGCTAATTCCCTAAGCTAAATTAAAACCCTCAATATGTAAATGTGCTATAAGTAATCTTATTTCATTCAGTACTTTAAAACAGTACTTTAAAAAGTACTTTCTACATGAAACTAGACTAATTCACACAATATGTGTAAGTGCTGTGCTTACTAGAATAGCAAAATGCTAACATCAGACCAAAGTCCCTTTCAGGGAAAGTCTGTTCACCTGATGGCCATCCATTTCAGACATCCAAGACCAAGTCCTATGTATTTGAATAAGGAAATCCTGACATTTCAAAATCTGCTTTCCACACTCGCAATTAAATAACATATTTCAAATTAGCAACAAAATGTGACATGAACGATCCCATAAATGCTGTTTCTTATGCTCAGATGGTGTTAAAAAGCACATATCTTCTATTAAAAAGGCAGGATTTATTCTGCTATATGGTGCAATGCACTTTCTCCCATTCATAAGTATTTGAGTGCACTATCTTTGTATATCTATAATATTTGATCAGACTCTATTGGAATGAACTTTAAGCGATTGTTGAGTATCTTTTCTCACTTGCATTTGAGTGCCTGTTAACATAATTGCGCTGTTGAAGTGTTTCAAATGAGTCAAGTATTAGATTCTGATTAATTTAGGATGCTGTCGTTGAAGGTAGTGGCCTATGTTGACCGTAGTCTCGCTCGGGTCTGGAGCAGAGCTAATATCTTCACCCCCAGCACTCGATAGAGAAAAACTCCACAGGTAAAGTGCACTTGAGCGAACATTCAGTTCACTGTCAATGTATTAAGTGTTGTCAGCTTAGTGCTAACGGCGTGCCAGTCTCCATAATGGCTTGTTACGCGTTCTTGGCTGCTTAGCTGATGAGACCCGGTGTATTTGCTAGCTGTGATGCTTCAATTCCCTCCAAGTGTTTGGCTCACCTTCTTGAGTTGACTATCAAGTTTGGTGCATTCCTCTTTCTTCTGCTCAAGAGCGATTTCGAGACTCTTCAGCTTGGAGTCCTTCTTCAGTCCAGAGGAGGCCAGGGACGAGGCGTGCTCCTTCAGGTCCAATAGAGAGCCCTGAGGGTGAGGGAAAGGAAGGTTAAATCAGAGAGCACTTATTGAACAATCTACCTCTGAATGCAGACGATCAGGTTCGGGTGGGGGGGGAAGGCTAATGAGAAGCAGGAGGAGACTTTGTTAATGTCATGCCACAGTCCCTGATTGCATTGAAACAACCTGAGCACAAACACATGTAATTATGCAGACTGGAACCACAGCCAGACAGTTTCGAGCCAATTTCAACATCAGGAAGCAAGAAGAGCCAAGAAAAATTGCCATGTGACAGTTTTTTTTTTCTTTTCGAAATGCACATTTGTATACAAACACGCAATCAAAAGAATTTAATTCACTCAGATCAGATTGGATCAAAAAAACTGGCCTTGGTTTGGAAAACAAAAACATTTAAAGAGACAGTTCACTCAAATTTAAAAACTCATTTATTCACCCTCATGTCGTTCCAAAGCAGCATGATTGTCTTTCTTTGGTGTAACTGTATAATGAATTGAGATTATAGAGTTTTCCTGTTTATAAAAGGATGCAAAAGTACCATAAATGTGGCTCATATGTCTCCAACACTATTTTCTAAATCTTCTGAAATCATACATTGGTTTTATATGACAAACATACCAAAATGTTCCTTGTTATTCACTGAAAATATTGACATTCCCCATTATGAGTTCATAAAGAGTTTATTAGAGCAAGTAAATAAATCATTTAGTAAATCATTCTTATGAGTCAAATATTTTCAATGAATCTTTTGATCAAGTTTTAAATGATTCATTCATAAATTAGATGATCCAGTTTGAGTTCAGCTCACCGACTCCCCTTACTAGACGGTAAAACAGTAGCTTGCATTTTGGTCTATTTCTCACCCCAAAGCAATCATATGCATTTGGAGGCTTTGAATATAGTGCTATAAGTTACATGGACCGCTTTACAGTACTATTATGGTGCTTTTGAATCCTTTTTGACGAAGGAAAGCTCCAGTCCTGGGTGAACTGTTCCTTTAATGTCACAAAGGCTTTTATGAGGAATAAAGTGATAAAATATGAAACAGGAGAACGATTTAGAGTTACAGTAGCTGTTACATCTCAACAGTAATATTACAAATATCGTGTGCTATTATGTACAGGCCTCTGCACATATGCAGTACATCAGCTCTCGGTTTTTTTTAAGCAGAGTCTCAGGCACGCTGTTAAAACTGCAGCCCTCCATCTATGAGGCCTTTCCTGCCGTTTCCGCTTTCAGCCGGAGAGCCCCACAATTTCACACTTGACTGGAGTCCACGGACCAAAATATACACTTAATGTTCATACTGCCGGCCCGCGTTCTCTCGCGTTGGTAAAGAAAACAGGAGAGGGGAATGATGGGATGTGCTGGACTCCACACTTTATGATTAGCGCACGGGAGGGGAGACCGAAAGAGCTTGGAGTGAAGAGGTCACTGCTCAGGAACAACACAATGCAGGAAAAACAAGGAGAGGGATATAACAGGACGCTGAGCGATGGGAGGCTGCTGCATGCAGCTCAGGACAGCAGCCGTGATCCAACGCAAATATCCAGGACACTGACGCTCTGCTTTTTTACGTGCAGCAAATGGACATGGGTGGATCTCATAAAATCTGTTAAGATGTCTGGGGCACATTTAACCCCAAAATCAAAATAAATAAATATAAAATTATATTTTACTACAATAAAATGAATCCTACTTTCACGCCCAGAGTTTATAGGAAGTTTATGTTGTTTATAGGAAGTTCATGCATATAAAAAAAAAATCAAGAATTTCATTAAAATTAATATTCAGGTACACATATATACGGATATTATACATATTATATATATATATATACACACACACACACACACATATACACACACACACACACACACATATTAACTACTGTTCAAAATGTAAATGGTTTTATAATGTTTATGTTTATGAAAGAAGTCTCTTATGCTCACAAAGGCTGCATTTATTTAATCAAAATTACAGTACAAATGTTAATGATTTATTATTAATATATAACGGTTTATTCCTTTGATAGATGATACATAAAATATATAAAAATATTTGTAACAAAATAAAAATCTTTTTATTCTTTTATTTCTTGATGTCCTTTCTGAATAAAAGTATTTATATTTAATATATATTAAGTATTTCTTAAAATAAATAAATAAATAAATATAAATAAACAAGTATAGCTTTGACATACCATTGTACTCTATAAATAAAGACAAAAACACCAAAAAATGTATCTTAAAAAACTTACTGACCTTACTGTATGTCACTGTATTACAGTAACTGTAATACAGTAAAAAATAACAATTAAAAATACTAATTTTTGGAGGGTACTGTGGCTAATTGTCATTAAGGTGTTTTGCATTGTGTCATTATTTTAATCCTAAAATTTGGCAACATTTTATTTATAATTTAAATATAATTATATCATTTCTTATTTTTCTTTTTGATTTTGGTGTCAAACATGATTTCATGAGATTCTCCCACACGCTATGGAATTTCTACGGACGTTTGGAAGCAAACGGAAATGGAAAGGGAAAGAGAAAGCTACAGAAAGTGGTTTAGTGGTGGGGATGTGCATCGCCCATGTTCTAGAGGCAGACAGCGGAGAGGAATGCAGAGATCACAGCAAACAAGAATAACCTGAATAATAAAACAGCCACAGTGCTGTGCCACAGGGTACATGTACAGTGCAAATGCAGTCATTAGAGGGAGTGTTCAACCAAAAATGAACATTCGGTCATCATTTACTACAGAGCCTTATGACTGTTATTCCGTGGAATGTAGATGGAGAATTTATCCATTAGAAGTGGATCATTGAGTCAGTGAGTTGAATTTTCAAATCATTCACACCAGTTTGAACTGAAATGATCCAGTTCACAAAACTGGTCTGAATGATACCAAGATTATTTATCAAGAAATGAAATAAAAATAAAATGCAGGACACATTACAATAAGAATTTTGAGAAAATGTGCTTCAAATAAAAAATTAAATAGATTTTTAAAAAAATAATAATTTAATGAAAAAATAATGAAAATACAAAAAAAAAAAAAAAGAAAAAGAAAAAAGGAATGTAAGAAGAATTTGAGGAAATGTGCTTTAAAATAATGTTGCAATGCAAAACATTTAAACTATCCTGTACATCATGAACCACTTATGGTGCAGTTTTGTCCTTTATAAAGCTTGAAATCTTCAGAAAGCTTCAGCAACCAATATAATTGTATAAAATGTCTCCTTTCGTGAATCAGGCAGGTTTGGATCGGCATGATGCGAGTAAACGATGACCAAACTTTTACTTATAGATCAACTATTCCTTTTATACTGACACAAGGGCTATTATTGGAGAGATGCTAGACAAAATACAAGAAAGTGCAAGAAGATAGAGAAAAAGGATAGAAGGCAAAAGGCAAAAAAGAAGACAGAAGTTGACGACAGAAAGATAAATGAGAAGTTGCTCTCTGGGAGGGGCCGCTCCCTCACATTTAGAATCTACCATTTATCTTCATGTCCTACACACACACACACACACACACACACATGCAGGACAAACAGTGTTGCGGGTCCAGCATGTCTGTTCTCATCACTACAGCTCCTCTGGGGTTGTGTGGACGGCTACGAAATCAGTCTGTCTCTATCAAGCCTGAGCACCTCGTCCAATAGTGCAATCTAAAGAAGACGCTTCTAATGCTGCCTGGGATCCGCTTCAACCTCTTTAATCCACGCCTGACACATTATAGAGGATTACTGCATTATAAATGCGAAACCACCATCTGAACTAACATTATGAATGCAAAATTTCACAAGACGTCGGCTGGACGCCCACCTCTGAGCTATTTGTTGGTCAGTTGAATGTTTGTTTGCACAGTACAAAAACCTGTAACAAGACTTGCTTTCACAAATGCAAGATATAATCATACAGAAACAATCCAGGCTAATCTTTTGCAAATATGCGCAAACATTTCACAGACAAATCCAACTGATTCATAAAATAATAGTTTTACAGTTTTTACAGTTTTCCTGATAGCAGAGATTTAGTTTAGGATCGTTGGGATTAGTTGTGGATTTTAGTTAAGCGTACAGGCCACAATTCATGACTGCAATATTTACACCGCAAACCCAAACGTCTGTTCACAAATATGCAAACAGATTACACAAAGCTGAGCATATGTTTGCAAGATGACATTGCAGTTTAAAGGAATAGTTGACCCAAAAATGAAAACTTCCAAGATACAGATGATTTTATTTCTTCATTCGAACAGATTTGGAGAAATTTATCATTACATCACTTGCTCACCAATGGATCCTCTGCAGTGAATAGGCGCAGTCAGAATGAGAGTCCAAACAGCTGATAAAAACTACTGTATTGGACTGTTTTTGTTTGTAAACAGTGCTTGATCTGTGCATACTTCTCCTGATTCAGATGAGACAACTATTTCACTGGAGAAAGCCATATTATGGATAGAGTATTTTAGCCAGAAGTAACAGTCTGAATGCCTTTCGCTTCACAGTCGTGTGGATTATTGTGATGTTTTTATCAGCTGTTTGGACTCTCATTCTGACGGCACCCATTCACTGCAGAGGATCCATTATTGAGCAAATTATGTAATGCTACATTTCTCCAAATCTGTTCTGATAAAGAAACAAACTCATCTACATCTTGGATGACCTTAGAGTAAGTTTTCAGCAAATTTTTGTTTTGGGTGAACTATTATCAACAATAAATGATGCTGTAGACAAGATTTAGGTTTCCAGATATGGTTTGACTCACTCCTACAATGTAATTCTGTCATTTTTTTCACCAATGTCACTACAAGGTGAAAATCATTCCAAAAACAGCATGAGAAAAATCATCAATTTCATACAATACTGGCATTAATAAAGCATTAGTTTGTTCATGCAAAATCAAGTTCTCACCTCGCGATCGGACAGCTCTCCCTGCAGTAAGTTGACTTTCTCTTTCAGCTCTTTGAGCTCTTTCTTGCTGCTGTCCAGTTCTTCGCTCTTCTCTCTCTCGTCTCTGTCCCTCTGTTCCTTAAGACGCTCGATAATACGCTCCTACAAACATCACAAACAAAAAAAGACATGTTAAGCGTGTGATTTAGAAGCAAAGACAAAAAGAATAATTCACTCACCCTCATGTTGTTACAAACCCATTTGACTTTCTTTTGTGGAACACAAAATTTGTTTTTTATACAGTACAATATACAATAGTATGCAAGATCATCAATGAATAGTTACAGTAAATTTCACCCTGCTCCTTTCACCTTTTGTGTTCCATGGGGAAAAAATTAAACACAATAAGCTAATATTATTATCATTATTACATTATCATTAAATATAATCAATATAATGTTTAATAGTAATAAATAAATAAATAAATAAAGATTAAAAGATTAAAGATTAAATAAAAAAGTAGCACAAGCAAGGAGGAAATGAAATTTGTGGTCATTCGCATTCTGATTTATGTAAGGGTTGTAAAATTGACCCAAAAACAAGAGCAGGCCAATACCTGTCAAAGTTTAGAAAGCGCAGGCACACCAATTCCTTAATTCCCATCTTAAGCGGAACTCTGCACAGCTAGTGGAACATATCTGAATGAACACATTCGCCGTACGATCCATTAATCTCACACATGTGTCAACTTTGGCCAGGTGTTGGAAGATTTGGCCGCATCTGCTTTCAGAAAATGGAAGTAACTTTAGTAGAACTGAGTTGGATCTGATGTGAACGGCTACTATGCTGCATTGTACTCACACTTTAATAAGGTCGCAAAAAAAACACCTTTAATAATTCAGAGAGGAAAAAGAGACACACAGAGCAACAACGTGAGACAATAAGAGGTCTGAGGAAAGAGTGTTTTGGCGCAGTCGATGGCCTGTGAAAGAGGACGGCTGGAATCATGGAGAGCATCAGCCTCCAGCACTTTCACACCCGTGCCGGCCAAAACTCACACACCGAGCGGCCGAACCGGACAATAATAACACTGCTCTTTTTCAGGCCTGCACTGCATTTTTCACCGCAAGGGCTGTATTTCACTCTCCCGAGCCGACGTTCCTGGCCGATCCTCGCTGAGCTGTGACATTAAGCATGACCGCTCATTGCCGTGCCAGTTAACTCTCACACCGGGTTCACAATATGCATCGAACGGCATCTGAGGCGTGTGAAATGGAAAACTGCATGTGTTTAAGTAGGGAAGGACAGATACGCTCCGCAAATGTCTGTCTGCTGCAAAAGTGCATACGTGTCCGCCTGTGTTCGAGTATGTGTGTCCACTAAAAGAGCCAGAGCTCTCTTTTTCAATATGCAGATGGCTGACAAAGTTAATTTCCACCCCTCGGATGGGAGGAATAGGAGGCCCAAACCTCGGCGCGTGAGGGTATGTGAGCGAGATGAATTGGGGAAATGCAGAACAGCAGATCGCTGCCAAACTGCGGGTGTGTAAGACAATGCTAATAACCGCCGGGGTTAATTCATTCATATTCATGAGCTGGAGTTCAGGAGGCAGGTGGTGGAGGGGGAGGATATGTTGATTCGGAGAACTGCATCATTCTGGAAGCCCGTGACCTGAAATGTTCGGTGAACTACGTGTACGTGTTGGCGAAGACAATAGCACATGTGATGAGAGTTGATGAGAAGTGACGGGGATTGACCTGTGGATCCGTACGCTTGCTGGGAGGTCAATCGTGGTGTGAGAATGACTGAGTCCTTACATAAGAGTGTGTGACAGAGCGATCTTCACCGCTGTCACACACACACACACACACAGCTTCTGCTGTTCTGCAACTGCAGTTCACATCACCTGTGAAATCATGTCTCTGAAGGAAACAACACAAGCTACCACATCCAGTTTAGTTATTAATAATAGCACTATTAGTACTGATGATAATAATAATATTAGTAATAATAATAATAATAATAAACAACTTTATGTAATATTAATCAAATGTATAAATAATAATAAATAAATAATTTACATAATTACTACTACTACAACAACTACTAATAATAATCACAAACAACAACAAAAAACTAAATGCAACATTAATATAATATTTACTAAAAGTGTTAAATTACACATTAATATTACATATAAAATCATTTTAATTGTAGTTAGAAAATGCCACTACTTTTACTACCAATAATAAACAACATTTATATAATAGTTACTATTAGTATTAGATCATACATTAATATTAAATATGAATATTAATGGTTGTTAATAATAATCATAATAATAATAATATAGTAACACAAACAACAATAAATTAGTGTATTATTAATAAAATGTTAAATATAAATAAGAATAACTAATTTACCTAATTAATTGGTATTATTACAACTGCTATTAATAATAATAATCATTATGACAACAAACAATTAAATGAAATATTATCATAATATTTACTAATTTAATAATAAGTATTAATTAATTCTAGTTAGAAAATGCTATGACTATTACTATTACTACTAGTAATAGTATTAATAATAATAGTAGTAATAATAATAATAATAAACAAATTAGTTATATTTATATCATATTTACTAATAGTATTAGGTTGTACATTCATATTAGGTATGGTTATTAATTATTATTCACTGCTCTAGATTCAAATGTCAGCCCCTCCACCTGCCTTAATGCTACAGTATGGATGACCAAAAAAATACAGTACCAGTACTTTTAGAAAATACTAAAATTAAGGATGAATACAAAGGTAATAATTAATAGCAATAATATCTGTAATGTCAATCCTATTTGCTGGTGTATAACTGAGTTGCAGCTGCTCTGAACACTCCATGGGTGAGAGTCATACCAATGAAAATGTTGACATTAAGACAACCCTAAAACAGACAACTAGTTTTCAGTGGCCGTAAATGTGAGTGTTCGTGGGTGTCCACCTTCTCAGCCAGGGCCTCCTCCAGCGTGGTGAGGGCCGTGTCCGTGTTTGAAGTGTCTGCCTGCAGGGATTTGACGCGCTCCTTCAAGCTGGTCATCTGCTTCTCCTTATCCTTCAGCTGCTCCTGCAGGTTCTCAATCTGCACCGAGAGGGAGAGACAGTTTTACGACATCGAACTGATCCAGATATAAAAAATACTATATTTTTGTTATTTTTTATAATTTATTATTCATGTTTCAAGACATTTAATAAAATTATGAAAATAACCTCTGTAACTAAAGTAAAAATAAAACATTATAAACCACTTACAGCATATTATGTTACATATTTTAATTGTTATTATTATTAATTAATCATGCTTCAAGACATTTGAAAATCACTCAAAATAATAAAATTCACTCATTTTTAGTTATCAAAAATGACTATAACTACATTAAAAACCTAACGAAATTAGCAAACCAAAAATCTTTCCTTCTTCCATTAAAAAAAATATAAATATATATATTATTCTGCATAATTTATATTATATTGCTATATATTTTTTTCTTTTTTATTAATTATTATTCATGTTTCAAGACATTTGAAAATAACTGAAAATGTAATGGAAATCACCTATTTTTTTTAGTTATTAATTAAATCTGTACCCACATTTATTATAAACCAAACAAAATGAACAGACTAAAAATCTTTCCTTCAGCCACATCTCCCACATCTTTTCTCCCTTTGTAGTTTGTTTGAAGTCTTTAAGTGCCTTAACAATTTTAGAAGCTTTTTTTTTTAAATTCAGTGTCCGGAAAAGAGCAAGAGAAAACTGTGACAGCGGCGTAATCTGGTTTCCGAACTCGACCGCTGAGAGAGATAAAGCTGTGTTATCCTTCAGCTGCTCCTGCAGGTTCTCAATCTGCACAGAGAGAGAGAGACAGTTTTACGACATCGAACTGATCCAGATGAAGACATATCTATTAAAGCACAATAAACAACATTTACTCACACTTAAGCTCACAGTAGACTAAGTGAAGCCATTTTTCATTTTATTTTCAGCACATGCACTTACAGCACTCCTTATGCAACAACATTAGGAATGGGGGGGGAGGGTCGGATCAGTTAAAAACAATCTATTTTTTTCACTGTTCAGCTGAAAATAAATAATGGCCTCATTAGAAGCATATTCAGAACTAATTCTCTTCATAAACTTTCCTTATCTGTGTGCGCGGCTGGTGTGTGCGTGACGCCGGAGCTGATGAATGGCACGGGAGAGATGGGCATTTCCACATTTCGCTCCATTCATCATGTCCCGACAGCTCAATGAAAAGACTGACTGTTCCTGTCCACCGTTTCACATTCAATTAAACGCTGGCGGATTTGATAAATAGTTGCCGGTTTTGTTTCTTTTAGCTGCTTTGAAACAACCTGCCGTTGATAGAGCTGCTCTGTGTGCAAACACATTTTATCAGCAGGCCTTACCTCGACTGTTTAGAGTAAAAGTTCTTGGGCTGAACAAGATTTAGAGAAAATATATGGTCTTTCATATGAACATAATTGTTTTAAGATGTATATTCTGAAATGATGGCATCAGAAGTTTTGTTGCTATGGCTGGAACAAACACTATTACAAAAACATCAGTAATTTATATACATTTAAATATTAAAAAAACATATAAATGTATACAATTCTACATAACTTATATACCATATTTACTATTTTTTATGTTTCAAGACATTTGAAAATAACTGAAAATAATTTTAAAAACTTTAAAGTTATTATAAACCATACAGCATATTATATTATATTATATTGTATTGTATTGTATTCAAGACATTTGAAAATTACTCACTTATTTTTTTATTGTTAAAACTAACTTTAAAATTAACCAAACAAAATTAGCAGACCAAAAATCTTTCCTTTCTTCCATTTAATAAATATAAATATATAATATATATATATATATACATGTATATATATATATATATATATGCATGTATATATGTATATGTATATATATATATATCTGCATAATTTATATTATATTGCTATATATTTTTTTCTTTTTTATTAATTATTATTCATGTTTCAAGACATTTGAAAATAACTGAAAATGTAATGGAAATCACCTATTTTTTTTAGTTATTAAAAATATCTGTACCCACATTTATTATAAACCAAACAAAATGAACAGACTAAAAATCTTTCCTTCAGCCACATCTCCCACATCTTTTCTCCCTTTGTAGTTTGTTTGAAGTCTTTAAGTGCCTTAACAATTTTAGAAGCTTTTTTTTTTAAATTCAGTGTCCGGAAAAGAGCAAGAGAAAACTGTGACAGCGGCGTAATCTGGTTTCCGAACTCGACCGCTGAGAGAGATAAAGCTGTGTCGACTTATGAATTTAATTAAAATAAAGTGAATGTTTTGGCAAAAGCGATTACAAGGATAACAACTGTAGGCAGAGGGAGAAGTGAGAAGAAACCCTATAATGAATTTGCCCTGGTTCAAAAAAACGAAAGTTGTTGCTCAAATAATAAAAAGTACGGCAGGGTTTGTTGGTTTAAATAATTTCAGACATGTTTGAACAGATGTCGGGGTTAGTCTCAGCTAGTTTTAAGCGAAAAGCTGAGTGGGGGAAAAAGAAGTTGTGCTGAATGGTCTTAGTATGGAATTGTGGGAGACTTTTTGTGGAATAACTACGTACCAAAAGCAAAAACGCTTAAACATCTCCAGCCCTTCATTAATCAAACACACAGCTGACAGCTCCACCTGTCCGACGATACACACATTCACACACACTTCACCTCCTTCCCTTTGATATCGTCTGCGGTCGCCCATGAAACCTGGTTGTGTAACGCAACCTGATTACGCTCCTCTGCCCCATTACCCAGCATCCCCCAGTGTTTCGGGTTACCCCGTGCAGCTTTGGCCGGCGCACGCGATACGCTCATGAATATTTTATTGCGCTAGTATTATGCATGTGCAGAGTCATATGATAACAGCAATTATATTTCGGAAAACAATCAGCGCATTGAGAGGAAAACTGTGATCCTGTGTAGAGTTAATGGAGGAAAAATGCCTTCATCTTCCTCATAAAGGGAAGATGGACATTCAGATCTAGATTACAGGGATCCATGTCAAGTCAAATGATGATTACGTTCAAATAGGAGCCAATTAGGCACAAAAAAAAAAAAAAATGTTGGGAGAAGTTTAAACCGGAATTCAATGACCTGGTATCTAAAATTGAGGCAAGAACAGTGTGTGTAGATGGACTCACACACTCCCACAAGCTCTTCTACCCTGTTTCTGGTTTCATCCGAGAGTGTGTGAGCAGATAAAAGACAAGACGAGACTAAAAGAGCAGCCTCCCGTCAGAGATCCAAACGCTTGGAGACTTAAAGGGATTTGTGTGTGTGTGTGTGTGTGTGTTTGTGTGTGTTTGTGTGTGTGTGTGAGTGTGAGAGAGAGAGAGAGGGAGGGGGTTGTCTGAATTATTAAAGAGTGTTTTGTTTCACTTAGTGATCTGCTGCTTGTCAGTGTTGTGTGAGCTCTGGAAACAGACAGAGAGGCACACGACAAGACAACAGGCACAGACACACACACACACACAAACACGCACAGAGTGAAAAGATTTGAGCGTTTACAGCGGGTTGCATCAGAATTGTATGCAATGTGCAAGCCGAACAAAACATGTCAAACCCACAGAGTGGAGCGACGGGAGATCATTTCTGCAGATTTTCGGCAGATGGGTATTAAGAAGGTTATACTGTATGTATAAGAGAAACTGTTTGCTAGATGTTTCCAGCACTTTTTATTAGAAGGTTCTCTGGAATTCTTCACAGTGTTATTTTAGTATAATTTAATATTTTGAATTATTAAACATTTCTATTTCCATTGTAATTTTCCATTTTCTTTTTAATTTTGGTTGAAGTTTTAGTAATTTTGCTGAGTCATTTTTAGTAGTTTTATTTATATTGTATACATCTATAAAATGTTATTTATTTTAAGGTTGTATTTATTTTCGTACATTAAGTTAAACTAAATGAAAATTACGAATGTTGTGCTGGAAAATAGCTGAAATAAAACGTGTTTTTTTGTTGTTGTTTTTTTACATTGAATTTATTTCAAGTATCAAAACATCTTTTAATGGTTTTAATTTCAGTTTTTGGATTTAATGGTTAGTAATTTTAGTAACTGTAATAACCCTGATTCTTGATTATGATTTGTCAAACACAGTGTTCTGAGATCGATATTTTTTTTGCATAATAAGAAATAAAGGGTATGCACTGTATACCTAAATAATTATAAATAGAATTCAACACCAATTTTTTTTTCAATGTAATTGACCCTATTTATGACTTCCTATTTCACACTCAAAAAATGGCGTAGGATTTACTTCAAAACAATTTTCATTCAGAAATTCCTAATACATTTCACATAAATGAATAAATAAATAAATGAGAAGTAGCATATTCAATTAGACAAATTGTGTGAAACACACTCCAGTAATCTTATTTACAACTTTGAAAAATCAGAGTGGTCTCTCAAACCACTCTGCAGTCTCTTTTTGCTCAAATAAAAAAATTATTTAAGCTCAAAATCAATCTTTAATGTTCATTTATTTATTTATAAACAAATAAGTAGCCAATTTGCATCAGGATCCTGATCCACCTGTCAGGATTTATTTAGCAACATACACATGAATCCTGTGTCATTTACGAGAGGTTTGTTGAAGCGGAATGGGTGGCGTCGAACACACACGCTGCTCAGTAATGCAAATGAGCGCGAGGAGTTTGGCACCTGAGTGGGTGAGACCTGACAGGTAAGTGGCACGACGCCAGTCTTTGTGTCTGCAAACTCCCACACAGAAAGAGATTTTCCTTAATTTTTCAAAATTGTCAAAATTCATATTCCTGCTTTGATCACCATATGTTAGGGGTGGCACTAAACTAGTCGATTAGTTCTGGCAGTAGTCGACGTGCCAGGGCTGTGTCGACTAGTTATAGATCACATGACTTTAGTTGCACTCGTTTGATATAAAGTGACAGCAGGAGGAAAATTCCACTGTGTAACTGTGAGTCATTAGTTCTATACAATAAATTGCAACGGACACATTTATTTGGATTTATTCAAAAGTTGAAGGTGGTCGGAGTTTTACT